CATCACTGGAACAACTGGCCAAACCCAAATAAGTTCTAAACATTAGATGGCAAGAATGTGTCATTTTTAATTTCCTATTTTTATTTTTATTCTGTGTTGTGGTTATGTAGGAGTCTCTGTAAAAAGTACACAGTAACGGTGAGAAAGGCTCTTTCCTTTCTGTCTGGTGGTGCCATCAGCTCAAAGGTAAGCCAAGATGGGTGCTTACAAGTGCATCCAGATGCTATGGAGGAAGAAGCAGTCCGATGTAATACGCTCTCTTCTCCGGGTGCACTTCTGATAGTAACATCAGCCCTCTGGCCCCTGCCCAACGTGGCCCAAAAAAGGACACAGACAAGGCTACAAGGCCAAGCAAGGTTATATATTGGATTTGTGTGCAACAAACACCGAGTGGCTAAGGGTGTAGCCTATAGCAAGCCTGTTCATCGTGGCACTAACCAGCTAAAAGCTTTCCCCGAAGTCTTCAGTCTCTTGAAGAGGACTGAGCTGGATACCACTGTGGTGGTCTGAGAGTCCTGAATTCTTACTAAGTTGGCAAAAATTCCACATACAAATTCTGTCTAGTTATCCTCACTCATCAATTCCATAAAGCTATCAGAAGAAATCCTGACACCCAATGAATCACCAAACCAGTCTATAAGCACAGGGAAATGCAAGGGCTGACATCTGCGGGCCGTGAGAACATGGCCTTGGAAATGGTAACAAGTTCCACCACGCTACTGGTAGTTCTCGCTACACAGTAGGGAGAAGACGAATACTTTCAAGCTCTACCATTACTGCTAATATAAGTAATGTTTGTAAAATTCTTACCTAATACACAATTTAGGACAGTCACCTCTGCTTAAAAGTGTTCTTTGTTAAAATTCATTGTCGGCAGAATGTTACATGAATGCACTGTCAAATTATGAAAGTTAAAGCACAATGATGTTTGAAGACTTCAAGTGGTGGTGCATCTTGTATCTAATAAGATAAGCGCTTCTGTCTTTGCTTTATCTTATTAGGAAATTTATATGTCAGTGTTTATTTGGTATAACAGGTGTAAAATAAGTTGTGTAAATGTGGAATGCAGAAGTTAGCCATATAGATTTGCTCGTGCACTTAACGACACCAAGAGCTTCACTGAGGTGATATAATACTCTGGTGGTTTCCTCTCAAGTGGCTCCTTTTAAGGGTTTGTTAAGAATAAGCTTTTTAAAATTAGACTTTGCTTGGAAATATGAAGAATATCCTAATCTTTTTATCATGGTCATATGCAGAATAACAAAGTTAACCAGGGCTCACAATTTTAAGTCTGATCTGATGTTCCATTTATGTAGTGGCTGTTTTCTGAAAGAATAGTTTAAAAGAATGCCACCATTTTAGGAGAAATGAATAAAAATGTTGCAAGAGGGTTTTCTTACAAATGAAAATAAATCCTGCTTTACCTAAACAAAATTGCCTTGGTCTCCACAGTACTGAAGTTCACATAAAAGGCAGAGGCTCCTGTTCTATCCCACAACTCTACAGCATCCACAGAATATTGAATTTCATACAAAGCACTCAGTAATGGTATTTATATTGGTGTATATTAAAACTGAAGGAAATACTACATGGCAATGAGAAACAATGAAATCTGGCCATGTGTAGCAACATGGATGGATCTTGAGGGTGTTATGCTGAGCGAAATAAGTCAGGCAGAGAAGGACAAATACCATATGTTTGCACGTATAGGAGGATTAGGAGGAACTTGACGGAGGAACAAGGGGGAGAAGAAGGGCGGAAATGGTGGGGGAAAGGGAGAGAGGCAAACCATGAGAGACTCCTGAATGCTGACAAAAACTGAGGACTGATGGATGTGGGGGGGAGGGAGGGATGGAGTGGAGGAGGACACTTGTGGGGATGAGCACTGAGTGTTATGTGGAAACTAATTTGACAATAAACTATTTGTAAAAAAAAAACAAAAAAAAAACTGATGGAAACTGAACATTAGGTAAATGAGAAGAATTTACCTTAAGATTCGTAAGCTAGTAACCAATGCTAGGATTGGGAAAGTGTTAGCTATCAGATAACCTTTTAAGTGTGAGGATAAAGAATTAAAGTTGGCTTTGATCAGCCTTAAGAAAAGAGGGAAGAGAAGAGAAGAGAAGAGAAGAGAAGAGAAGAGAAGAGAAGAGAAGAGAAGAGAAGAGAAGAGAAGGGAAGGGAAGAGAAGAGAAGAGAAGAAAGGAAGGAGAGAGAAAAGAAAAGAAAAAAGAAAAGAAAAGAAAAGAAAAGAAAAGAAAAGAAAAGAAAAGAAAAATAGTAAAGTATTGAGGGTAATAGGGCATGAAATTAGCAACTTATCCTCAAACAATTTAGGGGCAAAAAGGCTTTTTGTTTTCTTTTCTTTTTTTTTTTTGAGAGAGAGAGACAGCACTTGAGCAGGAAAGAAGGGCAGGGGTGGGGAGAGAAAGAGAGGGAGGGAGGGAGGGAGGAAGGGAGGGAGGGAGAGGGAGAGACAGAGACAGAGAGAGAGAGAGAATCCTAAGCAGGTTCCATGCCAATGGCAGGGCTTGATACCATGACCCTGGGATCATGACCTGAGCTGAAACCAAGAGTTGAACACTCAACAAGTTGAGCCACCCAGGCCACCCTTAAAACTTTTAATTAAGCTTGAAACTATTTTAAAAGGACAATCAATCAATAAATACAGAAGAAACATAAAACTCATAAATGCCCTCCCACAAAATGCCATTGATTATATATAAACTGATAAACCTTTTTTCAGAAATAATTTAATCTTATGTACGAGAAATTTTTTTAAAGCTTAAAATCTTTTATGTTTTTTGGCCCAGTAAGTTTATCTCTGGAAATCTGGCCAAATAATTCAAACTACAAAGGTTTAATCTATACAGATTTAACTTCAGTATTATTTACAACCCTAAAAAAATATAACCATTGAGGATTTCCATTAATGAGAAATTTAACTACTGTGTACATTAAAATAGAAAATTTTAGGGGCACCTAGGTATCTCAGTAATTAAGTATCTGACTTCAGCTCAGGTCATGATCTCACGGTTTGTGAGTAGTTCGAGTCCCACATCAGGTGAGCTGGAGACCCGTTTCAGGCGAGCCCATTTTGGGTGAGTATGAGTCCGGCTTCTCAGTGAGCTTGAACCCTGCTTCTGGGTAAACAGGAATCCCGCTTTGGGTAAAACATAAGCCCTGCTTTCAGTGATCCCTACTTCTCTCTTTCTCTCTCTCTGCCCCTCGCTCACTTGTGCCCCCTTCTCTCTCTCAGAAAAAAGAAAGAAAAGAAAACTTTATGCCACTGAAAATAATATACAAAGAGCTCTGAATAATATGAAAAAATGGCCATGCTGCAAAGAACATTTTGGAAACAGCATCACAATTACAAATGCATACTCCTTTTGACCCAGAAATTCCAGTGCTAGGATTGTATCCTACTGATTTACATACACATATGCAAAGCAATATGTATTGTTAAGTTTTTCACCACCATATTGCTTGTAATAGTAAAAGATTATAAAAAATGTAAATAACCATCAATAGAAATTAGAAAAATTATGGTACATCTATAAAATAGAACATTTTGCAGTTGCAAAAAGTAATAGAAACGTTCCTTATGTACTATCGTGGAAGTCTCTCCACAATATTAAGTAAAAAGAGCAAGACAGTGGTATGTATACAGGGGTATGTATATAGACATATAGATATACAGATAAACATAAATTTATTTACAGAGAAACTGAGAGAAACACTGCTTATCAGCTCATACCATATTACAACAGGGTAGGTACCTATAGTACAACCTGGATTCAAAGGCGCAGATAAAACTACATTACTTCATTATTCTTCCTGTCAGTATCTCTGCCTCAAAGGGCAGAGAACAAGTTTTGCAACTGTGTTTCTGTGTTTCCAAACTACTTCAAAATATTTTGCCTCTCTCTGATCAAAAAAAAAAAAAAAAAGCCTTTTAATCATAACCTTGCCAATTAATAGAGAAGTTTATATTTCATTTTTTTCATCAGTAAAATAGGGAGATGTCTGTACTGCTCAGAAACTCCTTTTAAAATGATATCATAATAAAATACATTTAAAAAGTCAAAACTGGAGGCGCCTGACTGGCTCAATCAGAAGAGCATGAAACTCTTGATCTCAGGGTCAGAAGTTTGAGTCCCACATTAGGTACAGAGACTACTGAAATCAACTTAAAAAAATTTTTAACTAAAAAGTCCAAATTAAACTCTGAAAAGATGACAAAGTGGCTTAAGATCTCAAAATGTCAGCAAATTAATATAATATTAGATTATATCAAGATCAACCCCAAATTACAATTTAAACAATTCTACAAAGTAATCTGATTTATACTGACTGAAGCATTCCAACAACATCAACTCCCAACTGTTTGCCACAAAGACCCAAACAGCTAATTTGAAACCGAGTTTAATTATATTTGTAGAATTACACAGAAGTATAGATGTTTCTGGCAATTCACAATACTACATATGGTAGTTTGTTACAATGTTTAAATATCTGACTTTGTATGAACTAGATACACCTCTTTATTTGCTATGTAATTCTAATGCAGCTATCAGCCTCTGGCAGAACTGTCTACTCAAACTTACTAATTTTAACTTTATCAAGAACAAAATGGTAATTATTTTTCCTGTTATTTTTATAATAGGTACTGTTTAAACCTGCTTTATCAGACAGCAAATATTCACTGATCAGGAACAAAGAACCATACAGTGCTTATAAGTCAAAAGTATTTGGATATAAGGAAACTCAATGGCTAAATCCATTGAAAGTACTTAAATGGAGCTGATGCAACCAAAAGGAGAAGGGAAAATTTATTAAAAGCTACTTAAAATTATTGTTAAAATAGCAACTGACATCCTGGTATTTTTAAATATTCCTTTGTAAAATTAAAAAAATAAATAAGAAATTTTTAGGGACACCTGACTGAGTCAGTCATTTTTAAGATAATTTTTAAAAATTAAATTTAAATAAATACTCACTTGTAGCAGATAGGAACTGCCTGGATCTAATAAGCTGGCAGCTTCATTCTGCATCGTGTTCTGCTGTGTAATTGCATCTTCTCGTTTCCGTTCTTTCTGCCCTGCTTCATCGTCTTCATATTCATCTAAGCACTGAAACAAAGAATAGTTTTCATTTTATTTCCACATAATATTAACAGAAGCTTTTGACAGTACGTGAAGTTACATGTGACAGTGTTAAAGAAGTATCTGTGCATTCAGAAAATAATTTACACAGCAATATGTACATTGTGTGCATATATGTACATATACATGTATATATGTATACATATGCAGGTGCATATGTATATATGCAGATAATGATAAAGGTCATTTTCCCACTTACTAGTACCTATGAACATATACAGGAAGAGTATTTTCACCTGGAGACAAGTCTTCAACAAAAACGCTGTAGACAAACTTAAAGAGCTGATCATTTAAAGAGTGGGGAACATTTGGAACTTCAGATAGAGAAAAAAGACAATTTCAGATGATGGAAAGAGCATATGGAAAGGTTGTTGCTAAAGAGCTGAATCAACACCTGCGTTATCTATCCAGGCTCTTGACATGAAGAAAAAAAAAATAAACAAAAACAAATTTCTATAAATTACACCCACTGTGGAATGAGTTATCTGTTCCTTGCAACTGAACACATTCCTGACCAATATTGCCCTAAAGGTTCTGTGAGAGACAAAAAATAAATAATGTCTCTGGAGGCACTCTGTAAAGACTAAGGCACTGACCAAAGAAAACAGGACTTACAAATTATAAAAAAAAAAAAAAAAAAAAAAAAGTTAAGCCGCTGTACAAACCAAGGAGACTGGAGTGTCTGGAATAGGAGGAACACAGTAGATAAGCAGCACCTTCAAAGACACAAATTCCACAATGGGGAATACAGAAAAAAGCATCTTTCTGAGATAGAATTTTACTTTTAGGATGATACAGAAAGGAAGTGAGGGGAAAGAACGGAAGGGGTGAATTAAAGAAATAAGCATGTCCTCCCTGGAATGGAACTATTTTTATAGGTGTCATCTGGCCCTTACCATGTCACCCTGTAAGAACTGGGGCTTGGGTAACTCATACAAGAAAAATGATGACACTGTGGCTACTTGACTCTGACCCAGGAGACTAGTATGGTCTGCCATGATCCAGGAAACTAACATGTTAGCTTGCAAGTAGGGTAAGATTTCAGACCTTTCATAGTTTCTGAGAGAAGTGAGGATTGGAAAGACATATGCTCTGATCACAGGAAACATAAATAGCAGAGAAGTATAGACCTTTTACTACATAACACAGAAAGATGTTATGCTGCTACAATTCCCTGGAATATAAGTAAAACATGATCAAAACTGATTTGGGAGGTAGCATATGGGTGGCTAAATCAGTTGAGTGTCCACCTCTTGATTTCAGCTCAGGTCTTAGGATGAGGCCCACATGGGGCTCCACATGGCAGAGAAGTACGGGGACCTGAAGTTCCCTCATCCCTCAAACATAGCGGTATGGAGGCCAGAAGACTTGGAATTCCAGGAATCTGGACCAGAGAATGACAGAAATAGCTCCAGAGGCCCACGGGGACAATGTGGTGGGCCCTAGGTGCCTTACTGCAAATTGGGAGAGATAAAACGGGTAGTGTAGGCACAGAAGGGAGGGATCCCCTTCTGTGGAAAGACAAGAGGAAGAGAAAGAGAGGCTGTGGAAGTGTATTTGGACAAGAGAAAAACCACAAACCGTGGAATAGAAAAAAATGGAGAGATAATCAATTTCTAACTGATCCAGGGTTGAAAGGCTTCCTCTAGACTGGGACCAGCCGCCCTGTACATATACCTGGTGGGGGAAGGAGAGCCAGCACTGGTCTCAGTAGCTAACTCAGAGGCGCAGTCAGAGAAAGCAGTCCCCTCCCTTCAGTGCTGTAGGAAGAAGATACACAGCCACTCCAAGGACAAAAGATCTTGCAGGTGCCAGCCAACCAGAGGCCCTTCATAGGCTGGCTGAGGAAAAGTGGCACCACCCCTTAACCAGGGCCTACAGAGCAGGATCCTTTAAAACATTGGGATTTGAATCCCAGCCAAGCACCTGGGAAGCACAGGAGACTGGAATGGGACAGAATAACCTGCTCGCACCTACCGAACACTGTGAAAACGGCCTGAATAGAGTGGTCTGGGACACCTAGTCAGGGGGAAAAAAACTGGGGTGTCACCATTTTCCTCCCCATCACCAACAAAGTGGGGCTTCAGGAAATAGGACAGAGGCTCCCAGTGGAGGCGAGATCACCTACACCAAACCATGCCCCTCCCTTCCTTATAACTACATCTACATAAGCAAGACTGACAATGACTGAACCAGAGGGCCCCTCCTCCAGACCAGCGCAGCCACTGGTTCCAAGGCACCATGAGATAGCAGTCCAACAGTTTTGCATCTTCTGACTTGATTCTTGGTCAATTCTTATTTTATATATATGTATATAGCTTTTTTGTTTCTTCCTTTTCATCCTCTTATTTCTTCCCTTCTCTGTTCTGATTATTCTGATTATTGGTTCGTTTAAGCAGACATTTTTAATCTATTCTTTTTACACCTCTTCTGTATCTCCTTTATTTTCTCCCCTCTCTAGAGTAAGTCATAGTTTCTCTAATTTGCTGCCTGGTCAATTTTTTCTTCTCTTTTCTTTTTTCGCACTCCTGGTCATTTATGAGATAAAGCTTGTTCACCACCACCACCCCTTTTTAAAATTTTTCCAGGGTTACTTCAGTGAACAAATCAAAGCACACCTGGTGGAAGGTCCAAACCACCACAATGAGTAGGGAGAGAAAACCACCAACGTCACAAGAGAGAGCATGCAACACACTCCAAAACTACCACCTGAAGCGCCAGGCCCTGGACAGTTTATGACCCTTTTTTAATATAGTGCTTGAGGTGCAAAACACATAATAAGCTATTAAATAAAACACGTACAGGACAGAAAACTACTCAAAATGATGAAATGGAAAAATCTGCCTCAAGAGAAATTCCAGGAAGAAATGACAGCTAGAAAAATTGCTCAAAACAGATATAAACAATATATCTGATCAAGAATTTAGAATAACAGTCATAAGATTTATAGCTGGGCTTGAAAAAAAGCAGAGACTCTACTGTTGCAGAGGTCTAGAAACTAAGAGATAGTCACAATGAATTAAGAAATGCTGTAAATGAAGTACAAAATAAACTAGACACAGTGACAGCAAGGATGGAGGAAGCAGAGAGGAGAGTAAGTGAAAGAAAAGATAAAATTATGGAAAATGATGAAGCTGAGAAAAAGATAAGAAAATACTAGACCATAAGGGGAGAAATAGAGAACTAAGTGATTCAATAAAACATCGTTATATCTGTGTCACAGGAGTTCCAGAAGAAGAGAGAAAGTGGCAGAAGGTTTACTTGAATAAATTATAGCTGAGAACATCCCTAATCTGGGGAAGGAATCAGATATCTAAATCCAGGGGGCACAGAGAACTCCCTTCAGATTCAATAAGAATAGGTCTTCATGAGGACTATCATAGATAAACTGGCAAAAATACAAAGACAGAGAATTCTAAAAGCAGCTAGGGACAAATGGGCCTTAACATACAAGGATAGACACATAAGGGTAGTAGCAGACCTATCCAATGAAACTTGGCAGGCCAGAAGGGATGGCAAGAAATATTCAATGTGCTGAACAGGAAAAATATGCAGCCAGAATCCTTTACCCAGCAAGGCTGTCATTCAGAATAGAAGGAGAGAGAAAGACTTTCTCAGACAAACAAAAGCTGAAGGAGTTCATGACCACTAAACCAACCCTGCACGAGATCCTAAGGGGGACTCTATATGAGCGGAATGCTGCAAAGACTAGAAAGGACGAAAGACAGCACCACAAGCATGAAACCTACAGATAAAACAATGACACTAAATCTGTATCTTTCAATAATAACTCTGAATATAAATGGGCTAAATGCTCCAACCAAAAGACACAGGGTATCAGAATGGATTCAAAAAACAAGATCAATCTACATACTGTCTACAAGAGTGTCATTGTAGACCTGAGGACACTTTCAGATTGAAAGTGAGGAGATGGAGAACCATCATCATGCCACTGGAAGTCAAAGAAAGCTAGAGTACCCCTACTTATATCAGACAAACTAGATTTTAAACTAAAGGCTGCAACAAGAGATGAAGAAGGGCATTATGCCATAATTATGGGGTCTATCCATCAAGAAAAGATAACCGTGTTTATGCCCCCAACTTGAAACACTCAAATATATAAATCTATTAATCACAAACATAAGCAATCTTATTAATAAGAATACAGTAATTGTAGGGGACTTTAATACCCCACTTACAGCAATGGACAGATCATCTAGACAGAAAATCAATATAGAAACAGTGGCCTTGAATGATACAGTGGACCGGATGGACTTGACAGATATATTTAGAATTTTTCATCCAAAAGCAGCAGAATACACATTCTTCTCAAGTGCACATGAAACATTTTCCAAGAGAGATCACATACTGAGTCACAAAATAGCCCTTAATTAATATAAATTAATATAAAAGAACTGAGATCATACTACACATATTTTCAGATCACAATGCTACGAAACTTAAAATCAACCACAAGAAAAAAACTGCAAAGTCTCCAAACATACTCAGGTTAAAAAACATCATATTAAAGAATGAATGGGTCAACCAGGCAATTAAAGAATAAAATAAAAATATATGGAAGCAAATTAAAGTGAAAACACGACAGTCCAAACCCTTTGGGATGAAGCAAAGGCAGTTATAAGAGGGAAACACACTGCAAATGAGGCCTATCTAAAGAAAAAAGAAAAATCGCAAACACAAAACCTAACCTCACACCTAAAGTAACCTTGTACCTAAAGTAAAACAGCAAAAAAAAAAAAACCCAAAGGCAGCAGAAGAGAAATAATAAAGATTAGAACAGAAACCATGAGAGACTCTTGAATGCTGACAAAAACTGAGGACTGAAGGAAGAGGGGGGGAGGGGGTGATGGGCATGGAGGAGGGCACTTTGGGGATGAGCACTGAGTGTTATGTAGAAACTAATTTGACAATAAACTATTTGTAAAAAAAAAAAACAAACATTAAGA